TCTACCCGCATTCTCTGTCGTCCCTCCTCGCTGCTATATATATATATATATATATATATATATATATATAATGGCAGTGGGCGCACGCCGATCAGGTGACGGAACATGCTCGTTCCGTTGTGCCTTGGGGCTCATACTTAAACCCTCGCAGGCAGTCGCACAGCGACTTATAGTAGACATAGATGAGATGGAGCCGACAAAGACAAGGGAGACCGGAATGGCCATTTCTGGCTTATTAGCCGTCATCAGCCAGTCATACCCAACCACAAGTGTCTACCATTAGTCGCTGTGCGACTGCCTGCGAGGGTTTAAGTATGAGCCCCAAGGCACAACGGAACGAGCATGTTCCGTCACCTGATCGGCGTGCGCCCACTGCGCCCCAGGTGTGGATCACTTGAGATTCGAACCCGGGATCTTTGGTCATGGAGTTTGACGCTCTACCATTGAGCCACGGGCCCGTTGTCCATGACCAAAGATCCCGGGTTCGAATCTCAAGTGATCCACACTTGGGGTTGGGTATGACTGGCTGATGACGGCTAATAAGCCAGAAATGGCCATTCCGGTCTCCCTTGTCTTTGTCGGTATCACCTTATCCACACATATATATAGCCAATTAAAGCGAAAATGCGTGTCTCCGGGGATAAATGAGAAGAAGAGGTGATCTCGGGAATCATAGGTTTAGTACCCTGATGTTTCAAAAGCAAACAAGCTGCCATCGTCGGAGGTAGGTTCTGTACGTCGCCTCACGGTATTTATGGGTGCTGAGCATGCGGGAGTGTTGTCGCTCCTACTGCTATTCGTGCAGGATCTGCTGCGGGGTGAGAAGGTAATTGCCGTCGTGCTGGTCGGTCCCTTCCTCCGTCTCCGGGTCGGTGGGCTGTGTCGGGATGGCAACGGTCATTGACCTCGTTTGCATTGCCCTCATTTGTTGTGCCTGGCCCGCGTTTCTCGTAATTGTCGCCCGTTTGCATCTGCCCGCGTGCACCTCGGTTGTTGCTGGTCCGTTGCTTGCCTGTGTCTCCTCGGTCTGCTGACCCACGTCATCGGTGTTTGGGCGCGAATTGTGTTCACTTGGGCTTGTGTTCCTGACTTCCTGCCTTTGATTCCGTTGATTGGACTGCACTTGTAGGGCCTGGTAATTCGCCGGGAAAATCGTGCAGCGATTGATGGAAGTTGGTACGGTGTGCCATTCTTCGAGCGTTTCCCTGGCTGTCTAGTCGGTACCTCGGCCTAGGATTTCGGCGTTCTGGAAGGCGAAAGTGTGTCCAGAGGCAGCACAATGTTCCGCCACTAGTGAGAGTTAGTCCATCCTTCTCACTCCCCTTGCGTGTTCACTCATGCGGGTTTATAGCCGTTTTCCGGTTTCTCCAACGTAGTTCGTCTCACAGGAACTGCACTGGACACGGTAGACGACATTCGCTGTTTCTCCTCGTGACAGAGGGGCCTTGGGCCTCATGACGAGACGTCTTATTGTCGCCTCAGGTCTGTGGATGACGCCGATCCCCAGTGGTTGTAAGAGACGAGAGACTGCTTCGGATACATTCTCGATATACGGTAGCGCCCGCCGCACTTTTGGTTGTTCTCACGTTGGCCTTATAGCCTTCTTTGGTTGCCTGCTACGTTCGATGAAATTGCGAGGGTAACCGTTGGAGATGAACATCCGCCGAAGATACTGGAGTTCGGCTACTTTGTCGGCTGCCTCGCTGCAATGAGTTTCCGCCCTCTTGTAAAGAGTCCGCACACAGCTACGTTTATGGCACAACGGGTGGTTTCTGCTGTAACTATGGACCTGACGTGTGTTAGTGAACTTTCGGTATACCGTCGTTCTTAGGCTCCCGTTGGTTTTGCGGTGGACCAGGACGTCTAGGAACGCCAGCTGGTTGTTGACTTCCGCCTCACTTGTGAACTGGATGTCCGGAAAAACAGAGTTCAGGATCTTGTGAAATTCGCAGACCATCTCCCGCTTGAGGATGACGAAAGTATCGTCAAAATGCCGTGCCCAAAATATTGGTATGTGGGTTGCGAACACCAGCATCTCTAACTTTTGAAGGACCGCCTCAGCAATGAAACCAGACAGCGGCGAACCCATTGGAATTCATATTGACCCTTTGATTTGTTCATAGACCGTTCCTTCAAA